ATGACAGATAAAATTACACCACATATCGCATTTTGTCCCTACCTTATCATGCAAAAATATTAAATAAAACATTGCAAACAAAGGTTGTTACCAAATAAATTTCACACACGTCCGCATATCAAACACAAGGTACCTACGCACACATATAGATCCATACGTACATATTTATATCTGTCATATGGCAATTCTTATCAAATATAAGTTTATGAAGCTTCCGAATATTTATATAATACCGATAGTTATAAAAATAACATTAAATCTTTAGAATTAGCAATTAGAGCAGATATTTATTTATTTTAGACGATTGTTTCTCTTTTTCCAAATATAGACAATGATTTCACACTCGCCCAAAACACGGGTGCACAACACATTTACTCGGTCGATGGAATTATTGGATTCACTATTTTATAATCTGCGTACACAACACGTTCGGACAAATTTATAAAATATATTATGTTTTGTTTCGTATTTCCATTTAATATCGAAAAGTACAAAAAAATACACGGCCAACAAAATACGAAGATATTAGTTTAATTAATACGACGGTGCTAGCAAAATGGGCAATAATATTTTCACACAGTTCCAGCGCTGTAATTGACAGTTGAGTAAATAGCGTTGCCAGACTTTTCTACATTGTACAAAAAGTACTTGGTTGGAGAGCCATAATTTCTTGTCAGTATTGTCAACTATGTGACTTTTTTCTAAATATGATTTTTTGCAGACAGATTTCAACTCAGTGCTGAAAACAGCGTATGCAATTAAAGTGTGGGTCAGCAAATTGTATAAAATATTATAGTATAAATTTATCATATGAGAAAAGTATATAGTTTTTAATACGAAAAAATTGGTTGTTTACTCATATTTTCTTCAAATTATTATTTAATCAGCAGATTTATTCTGCAAATGTTCCCTTAAAATTTATTAAGAAGAAATCGAAATAAATTTCAATTAATAGAAGATTATTGTTGGCAAAGACATAGAAACCGTAAAGACTCGACAAAATGCATTTTGACAAAATAGTTATTAAAAAAATATCCAGGGGGAATCAGGTATAACAGAGGCATGTTAACAATAAAAACGCCAATACGCGATAATGTGTTTATAAAATGTAAATAAAATCAGAGATGTGCACTCAAAATATATTTTTTTATTTAATAAACTTAAGATATAGCATTAAAAACGTTTAATACTGTTCTCTCTGTTATGATATCGTAACAACAGAGGAAAAGCCATCTGTTGGAAATTGTTTACGTATCAATTTCGTATCTTTATACTTTCATGTCTTTGTTTGTTGTTGAACAGACCACTACCACTTCAGACACAACCAAAATATTTCAATATGGATCCTTGTTTTGTTTTTTACTTTTATAATAAAGCATTATTAAAACAAACTATATGTATTTATATGTTTTTGACAATATGTTCTAAAGGTATTTAGATTAGACATTTTCCCAGGCTTCTGGGGCATTTTTATGTACTATGATCAATAACCGTGTACATTTGTACCTATTTCACCTATAATTTATGAAAAGAGAATATAAATATTTTCCTTATACATATATAATTTTTCCTCAACTCAACTGGTCAGATTTCCAGAACGTGCAACAGTCTACTATTTATAGAAGTCTTTTTTTTTCAATTTTTCTTTGTAAAGGTTTTTTCAAACTTTGGTTTTGCCGTTATTTGTAAACGGGAGCAGACACATTGTCTGTGTTCCAGAACCTGTAAGAATCTTCTGTTAACCGAAAATTTTCTATATTTTTTCTGTTATAAATTTGAAAACTTGTACTACTTTTTGCCAATGTATGCAAATAGAAAATTGCGTGCTTATATTTGTCGTTTTACGAGAATGCCTAATATGTAGCTCGACGTTGGTCGACATTAAGGGAACCCCACCCATTCTCGATTTTACTTTTTCAAGATTTTCAATGGGCTGGTAAATCAATACCAATGCTTGTTAAGGTTTGTAACTTTGCACATATATATTTGAGTATTTAAAAGAGAAGAAAAATAATTTACAAACAAATTTTGTTATTGCTTTGTTGTTGTTTTTTGTAATTAAAGAAAATACCTTATTTTTGATGGCGGGCATGATAACTCCTCACTGGAACATCGGAATCCGAAAATTCCAACGGTGTTATATAGAGTACATGTATGGCTCTCGTATGAACTAGGATTATTGACTTTGCTCTAAAATTAACAAAATGGCGGACCATTGACAAAATATTTTTGGAAAATCGCCGATTTTTGACCAAAAACCAAGTTAAAAAATAAGGAAGATCTTCACCGATTGGCCTTATCCTAGTTCATACGATAGCTATACACTCACAGAATCGATTGGGTTATTAGTTTTTGAGTTATCGTGCCCGCCATTCGCAAAAGAGAAAAACGCGTTTAAAGTTTGAGAAGCCCTTTAGCCGTCACTTGATGCTGACACAATAAATCGGCTATATCTTCAAGAGTTCTTGAGATTTTCACTTGAAATTTTGTAGAGACATTCTTGAATTAGTGTAGAATCGAATTAAATCAAAAAAAATTTTTGACCCCGAAAATGGGGGGTCCCCTTAAACATTTTCACTTAGGTACAGATTTTTCTGAGAGGTAGCATACAAGGAAAGATAAGCCAGTGTGTTGGTTGCGTGGAATCGTGGAATTTCGAAATAATAAAACAATCATTTCTGTTTCCTTAGTTAGTAATTAGAACTTCTCGTGCAAATTGTATTTTCTTGCCTTAAGATTTACATTCACATTACCATAACATTGGGCAATTTTAATTGCCTCAATTAAAAAAAAAGAATTCAGTAATATGTTGGCGAGAGAGTTGATTGGTATGACAATCATTCACCAATCTCGCCAACAAACTGGCAATTGCCGCAAGTAAAATTGCCTAATGTAATAAACTTGACTAAATCATTGACTAAAGGATTTCGGGATCCTTTTTATCCTTTTGCTTGTTTATTTGGTTTTGTAAATTATAAAAGAATAAGGGAGAACGGCGAAAAATCTCAAATATGATAATGCTCTTACTTTATATTTTAATTGCAATTAATAATAGCAAACCTTAAAATTATTTCTTTTCATTTTCAATAAGCCAAATTTCACCCCTTTAAAACTAGGAAATTATTAATGTATACGAGAAAAATTTAATAGTTTTGGACTAATTGATCTGTTGTCTCAAACTTTTCATGATATTGACCTCCACAGTTTATTTGCGTGAAAGCTGTGTTTTCCTTAATGTAAAAAATGGGTAAAAACAAGTTGAGGCAAACCAGTCTTTTGTTTTTTGAAAGTCCAGCTAGTTTCTATACGCAATAAGGAATTTAAAAAAAAAAATCAATTGTATGATTTTGACTAAACTACTCATTTCACGGCCTTCGTAAAACTTTCGAAAATGTATCTGCATCTATCTTAAATTATTCTGACATTTTGAAGCTTGATTTTGAGTGTTTTTTGAAAGTCCATCTAGTTTTAATACGCAATAAGGAAAATCAATTGTAGGATCGATGTATTCGCGTATCTGATTAATTTCACAGCTTCAGATCAATATTTATCCAAACCTATTTGAACCTATTTTTTCGTCAAAATTTGTATATCTGTCATTTGATTGATATGGAGACCAGCAATCAGAGAGCTTTTTTACGTTCAGGATAAAGTAAAATCTTTGCGATTTTTGTGGATCATTTGAACATACAATTTATGATGTATATTTTATAATATAGTTTTAGATTGTAATTATTTCACATATATAGAACCCCTCGATTTATTTGAATGGTTTTGCTATTAGGGTGGTGTTTAGATCAGGCAGATATTTTTAAATTAACTTTTAGTTTGATATATGTTGCAAATATAATAAAAATGAAAATGGAATATTATATACAAAAGGGCTCAGAGGGGCGGAATTAGATTAGGGGAGGAATTAGATTAGATCTGAAAACGATATGTAATTATATATAGGACAACTAAATACTTCGTTATATTTAAATTCATTTTATAATGCATTTTTTATTTTGCCGTTGTCCACAGATATAACGTAACTACAACAAATAACGCAAATTTCTGTGGTCTAATGCAGCAAATGGAATAAAGTCAAAAAACGCATATGAATCGTATATGTTAGTGTTTAAATCCAAATGCGCGTTTAAACGCTATAGTTCTTAACGTGCATTTTCTGATTTAATTACCAAATCGACTCAATATGTTGATATATGTTGCAAATATAATAAAAATGAAAATGGAATATTATATACAAAATTGGCATTATTGCCCCGTATATTTCTTTGGATATCAATAGGGATGAGCCGTGGGAAAACACTCATTGGGGGTGCTTACCCGGTAAATTGGGAATATACAGGGTAAATTCCAATTTGTGTGTATTTATTTGGCTATATATAGTAAGTATCAAATGAATGGATACTAGAACATCTTACTCTCTATTTATGAGTTTCTGTCCTCAAATCGTTACAAAATGGCTAGTTTTATAATACTTTAAGTACGTGGGTATTTACACAAATATTGCCAAAATTTGGCTTCAATATTTTTTAAGACACAACTGGTATGGAAAATGGGTTTGATTTGCTTTGATATATCCCCATATAACCTTTAAGGTATTTTAATATACTACTCACATGTTTCAATCAAATTGGCTATAATTTGGCACAGTGTATTCCTATTTATAACTAAGGTCCACGTTCTTCGAGACCACATATAACGGTATCCGATTTCGGGTATTTACCAAAATGTTGGGTAAAATGTATTTAACTGCCGAACTACTTGACGTAGATACCAAAATTTTTCATACTACGTCAACTTAGTTACATAAGCCCATGTTTTGATATAGCCCCCATCAAAGCAATGGTACCACTTTGGATGGTTTACAATTATCTATACACATATGTATACATATTTGACATACTTCAGGATAATATAAAGGCTAATAAATTCTATTATTAGCGCGACCTACAGAAACAGGTTGTAATTTTTATATTGTAAAATGTACTTACGGAAATAATTGAGTGTCTCACGTGTTTGCTCTTTAGATAACCCGAGGCCCTCAGTTGGAATTTGAAGTGCTGGAGCTGGGACATACCAATCCTGATTTGAATACCCTGCAAAATCTGTCAGAAAATCTGAACGAACTTTATATTTGGGTATCTGTTCCTCTAGTAATGAAAATATTTCCACCTCTGGTATACAGTCGTTGCTACATAAATCTAAATTAGAAAAATATTTATTGGTTAAACAATTTTTTCTAAGTAATTAAATATTTTTGGATTGAAAATACATACCTGTTAGACATGCAGCATCAGCTGTTTGCACTTGGGTCTTTGTATTCGGATGATACTGTGCTAAACGTTTACTCGAAAACTTTGGTAGGTGTTTATTCAATGTAGCTTGAGCTAGAGGGCTCAGAGGGGCGGAAGCCCCTATGGATGAGGGCAACATTGGTTCCGATTAGATCTGAAAACGATATGTAATTATATATATGACAACTATTTTTTATTTTGCCGTTGTCCACATATATAATGGATGAGGGCAACATTGGTTCCGATTAGATCTGAAAACGATATGTAATTATATATATGACAACTAAATACTTCGTTATATTTAAATTCATTTTATAATGCATTTTTTATTTTGCCGTTGTCCACATATATAACGTAACTACAACAAATAACGCAAATTTCTGCGGTATAATGCAGCAAATTGAACAAAGTCAAAAAACGCATATGAATCATATATGTTAGTGTTTAAATCCAAATGCGCGTTTAAACGCTATAGCTCTTAACGTGCATTTTCTGATTTAATTACCAAATCGACTCAATATCTCGATTTACTCGAAATTCTTTGCTAAATAGTGTTAATGTAAATGTATTTAAATTTTATTGTATAAGCCTGAGTTTACCAAAGACATAGAAACCGTAAAGACTCGACAAAATGCATTTTAACAAAATAGTTTATGAAAAAATATCCAGGGGGAGTCAGGCATAACAAAGGCATGTTAACAATAAAAACGCAAATACGCGATAATGTGTGTATAAAATGTAAATAAAATTTGAGATCTGTACTCAAAAAATATGTTTTTATTTTATAAGCTTGCAATATAGCGTTTAAAACGTTTAATATTGTTTGCTCTGTTGTTATGATATCGTAACAACAGAGGAAAAGCCATCTGTTGGAAATTGTTTACGTATCAATTGTCGTCTCTTTATACTTTTATGTCTTTGAGTTTACAAAAGGCAGGGCGGTAAAGTTCATGCATTAATTGTGACGAAGACGTTACAAAGTTTTGCTAGGAAAATCTGCAAAATCAACTTTGAAAATGTCGGGTATATGATCGAATTTTCTTGGAATTGATTGTTCACATATACATGCTTGTATAAACCTATTCGTGAATCCGCAAAAAAAATATCACGATATTCAGCGATACGAGAATAATATAGATAATGGTGGCACATACCCGGTTCGTATGGAATCGTTTTATTCACAGGAAATTACTAAAATCGTCTGCGCATAAAAATCTTATGCACCTTATGTAATTTTTAGCCATTTTTACGGCTTTAGTTTTTTGAATTCCCATTGCTTTTAATTTAAGTTAAGTTAACGATCAACATAAAGTTAAGACCTACCGAAAAGTATACATAATTGAAATAAATATTATTTTTTTACATGAAAAATATATGTTTAAATTTTCCTGATATTTGTCGGTACCCAGTTGTTCAAAAAATATCAATTATCTTCTATTACATAGTTATATAGCTAGTTACTTAGTGATCTAGTTACTTTATATCCAAAAAATGGAACATAAAATATACAATTGACTTCATTTGTTGATTGAAAAAGCTATCTAATTCTGTAGTTACTGGTAATGTAAAAAGTAGTGAATCGACAAACAAGACAAAAAAAAGGAATTGTCATTTTCTTCAGGTTTTTTTTATAATTTTCAGAATTCTGAAAGCAAATTAAAAAAAAAAATATGTTTTTAAACAACATGTCGTATAAGACATATACATATATCCACGATATACAAGATGAAATGATGTTGAATTAAAAATCCGGGAAAAATTCATAAGATAAATCTGGGGTAAGTTTTATTATTGCAACACAATAAATATATATATATATATATATATATATATACGTAATATTTCAACATTATTATCTAACAGATTTTCAATAGATGTCACTTCAGAAGCATCTTACAGATTGAGAAATCAACTTTAATTTTTGAATAGGTAAATATTCTCCAAAATGACCCATATCTTTATTTATATTTTGTAATTTTCTGTTTCAGATGCTTTAATATTTCGTAGAGAACGGATGTTAAAACGGTCAAGAGACAAAAGAAATGCAAATGTCAATATGGCGGCGTAAAAATTCTGATAGAATGAAACATCAATTTTGAAATAAATAAAAAATACACATTCCGTATAACATTTATATATTTAATTTTCCAAACTGTTATTATAGCCAATTTGCTACATATTTGTAACTAGTAATAATAATTAACAATGGTATCAACCCAAATGACTGGTTACTTGTAATGCAGGCAGGGGACAATTGACTTCCCCAATGACATACACATGTTAAATTCACCAGTCTAGGGTATGATGTGGTAACTAGTGGTAGTTACAGGTAATTAGTAAAATTAGTTCATAACCAGTTACTCGAACTACTGGGTAACACAAATAAATAGTTACAGAATTACACTACTGAATTCATTATGTCTGTATTTTTCCATTAAAGGATATCAATAAAACTTTTTTTTTCATAAAAAATTATCATATTAAAAAATGTGCCTATAGAGGCTTGCTTAGGTTTTGGCCGATACTGAATATATGTAAATGTAGTAATTAAATTAAATAAAAATAGTTATTAAAAAAACAGTGAATTGTATAAAATTAAAAGACTACACCAAAACTTAATTTATACTTATTTTATTTATTAATAAAATATTTAAAATTCAACATTTTGAAGCAAACACTTTTTGTTTCATCTGGGTTAATACAATTGTCAAAATAAGAAACATTTACTTAACCCTTTGAGCCCCGAACACAGATTTAATGCAACTTTCTTAAATAGGATATGCACAAAATTTGGCATCGCTACATCCTTGCATTCGGGAGATACAGTACATTCTTCCGGAAAAATTAAAGTCCCATATTAAGAAAACATTAAATTATTCTCTTTATTCATTTTTACAAGGTTAAAAAAAAAATCAGATGACAGAATTCGTACAATTTGAATATGAAGCGGTTTAAAAATTTGGACTGTATACACAAATTAGTACTGTACACACATTTGCCTTCTTCTTTATATATTATAACTTTACCAAAATTTTTATTTTTTTATTTTATTTTTGATATGTGTCGTCCATAATCAGCTCTTGACATATGAAATCCAAATAATATATATCTACTAGCTGCCTATTAAATATAAACTCTAAAACATTTTGTTGCTTGTGGGCAACATTGGGCCACAAATGGTTAAAGGTGAGCACACTCTCTAATATAAGACTGTCAGCTTTTTATCTATTACTGACTGTCCAACAATTACCCTACACATCTTAAATGTAAATAAATGAAATATAAAATAATGATTAATAGCAATTCCCTAAAATACAGTCGATTTCGGATAAGCGAATACCGGTTTATCGAAAAAATCTGTTAATTGAAACAAAAAATTTTAAACTAATATTTCGGATGAATTTTCAAAAACTTTAGGTCGCTTAAAAGAAATACCGGTTAATTGAAAATCTGTATAAGAGAAAGACTTTTTTGTTTTGCAACAACACAAATATATATGAAACGAGCACCCTTTAAGAGTAAAATAAAATTTTTGTAAGGGCGACGAAATCCATTAAAATTTTTATGTGCAACCCAAAAATGATGTTGCACATTTTTCCAACCATCCAAGCAAATGTCTACGAAAAAAGAAGTTCTCACATAATTCCTTTTTTTAATATGATTTATAAGTTCCACGATTTTTCAGATATTGATTGAAAACTTCGTTTAAGCGCAACGAGTTTCGCTTATGCGAAGTTCTTTTAATTGAAAATCCTGCTTAAAAGAAAAAGATTTTCTGAAATTAGGCGTTTTCGCTTAACCGAATTCGACTGTAATCGAAATGATTTTCGAATAGTAGTAATTCGAATTCTAATCAGATTTGGTTTCTGTAACAAATACCCTATCGTTTGATACGAGTTACGCATATTATTGATTGTTTCATACCGGAATGCCATATTACAGAAACTAAAATAGAAAAATAAGCCTAAAATCTTCAAATAAATAAAAAACCGCAAATGGGTTGATGCCGTTATATGGGAGGTACACCAACACCGGGTACATTTTTCAATAATACGTGAGTAATTTTAGCACTTTTTTTTATTTATTAATTAAATCTTTATTGCATGACTTTTTTCCTTTTTTGATGAAAAATCTCAAGGTAATAGATTTCGTGCTCAGATTGAAGGATAAAATATTTTAAAACAATTTTAGTACAGATTTATACAATAAATAACAGAACATACATCAGAAATGTTTCTTACACTTGACCCGCCTATAAAAAATGTAATGCCGGCATATACGAATAGTCGGCATCTGTTGTATATAACTTTAAATAAGTAAAAAATGTTATAGCCAAATATGAAATAAACCTTGAATAATCTTCAATGATATTGCAACCTATCTCTGTGTGAAATATCGTCGAGCTAAGTACATTTATTTAGCCAAAATGTTGCATTCTGCCAACAAATTTTCAACATTAGCGATAATTCATGTTTCTTAAGAAAAAAAATTAGTGGGCATGTCGATTTTAAAAGGCTTGTAACTATATTAAATATATATTTTTCACAAGGATCTTTTTTGTAATTGTAAAGAACATACAGGATAACTCTTTAGAATTTAAAAGGATACAAAAATGTTAATGTTTCCAATAGTCGGCATATAAGTGAAAAATATGCACCTTTTCGATCATTTTGGCTCAAAATTGGGGAAAAAATTTTAGATAAGTGCTGTAATCGATTAATTTTGAAAAAATCATATTTCAGTGGTTTTGCATAATATAAGACATGGTTTTAATCTTAAATTATTTTAACCTCTGAAATGCCTAATTTAGCCATACTGAGAATTGGATAACAGTTCGTCAATATCGGAACCATGTTTTATAATTGAATATTTAAATAAATAAAATTATTTTATATTAGGTTGGGGAAAAATAAATACATTTTTTTGTGTAATCTTTATGGTCAATTGTTATCTCCTGGGTGATGTTCCGACTGCTAAGATGTCGATCAACTTTGACAATTTTATATTAGGTTGGGGAAAAATAAATACATTTTTTTGTGTAATCTTTATGGTCAATTGTTATCTCCTGGGTGATGTTCCGACTGCTAAGATGTCGATCAACTTTGACAATTTCTCCGATTTTATCGACATTTTCGATGA